GCCTCCACCCTGTAGCAATGGCCTCCACCCTAGTAGTGATGGCCTCCTATCGGCATATCTTTCTTTCTGATCTGGTCATTGGAAGGGGTTCTTCAGAATTGCAGAGGCTGTTCACGAAAGAATCGCAAACTGCTGAGTCTCCCGATTCAACTCAAGCTCCAACAGCTGACTCGATTACAAATCCAAAAACGCTCGAGAGCTAAGTTGCAGCCCAAGGAACGAGTGTGACAACTCTGAGAAGGTCCGCCGCCCCGCAGGGCGCAAACTCAGCAAGTGCGGGGCTCTATATTATAATGCTGTAATGTGTGCCTCAATACCACCACTAGAATGACTATTGTTCTAGAGTTTCATATGGGACAAATAGTCTGAATCTGGTAAAGTCAAGTCCATTTCCCACTCGTTTTGCTGATTGCAAAGGGGAAGTTGTCCTTCTGTGCTTTCCGACGAGCGAGAAGAATGCAAGTTGGGCCTCAGCTGGCAGCACATCTCCTGACTACCATCAGGTTGGTTTCAGGAAACTGTTACGAACCGATGCTCGAAACGCTGACCTGGGTGATAACCCATTGGCATGGCTGTCAAAACTTCAAAGCTAAGACGGATTTCAAGTTGGGAGCAGCCAGTGAAGTAGTTGCTCAAGTTGATGCTCTGATGTGTGATGTGCTGGCGAATCAGGCCACAGATCACCAGAGACCCAGAGAGTTTACTTGAACTTTTGGAATGACTTCGTATGCCTTGCGGCAGCTGACCATCTCCTCGAAAGCCACTCGATATGCAACATGACCTCACTTTCTACCTCGTACCCAAGATGAAGTCTCGAAAATAGGCAGAACAGTCTGTCAGTCCGACAAAGTCTAGTACCTGACATATTTAACCCATGTCGAATGACTAGCAAACACCCGTGCTACGCAGGGTTTGGAAACGGGTTTCTTCGGCTTCTTTGGTTCGAGTCTTGGAGACGATCAAACGCTGATCACTTTCGGGCAGACGATCCTGGCGAGACGATCCCGGCAGATACGGTGGCTCTCTTCGCTTCCTTCGTGTTTTCGACCTTCAAAGCCCCCCCCTTTGGCTTCCATACGTTGCAATCGTGAGACAACTGTAACTGGAAAGAAACATTGTCGTTCATATTACAATCATTGGAAGCCAGATTGGGGCCTACAGTGAGCTCTTCTGATTTGACCCTCCGCTGGGCCAGTGGTTTCCGCCGTTACAAGAAACCGTTGCAAATCTATGCAACTTCTACTACCCTTCACACCCTAACCTCTTACTGCAAATCTGCAAGGAAGAATACCTGGTCAACCCTTTTTGCAGAGTCCTACATATCTGCGGGGCCCTTGCAGGTGCACCAGATCAACTCCACAAATCATAGGCAACTGGAAATTGTTGCCTCTCTAAAAAGCTTGCAAGCATTTCATCCCAAGACCTCGTGATATTCAATTCCTCGAGGGTCCGTGCATGCTGGAGGTGCTCGAAGGATTGCGCAGCATGGGATGCCTCTGTGCCTGTCAAGGACCCCAAAGCATCGACAGGACTGATGCACAAGGGCCAAAAGCCTTCGCTGGCCTCGAAGGTTGGCACTGGCTGTGGCCGTGCGTTGCCATCCAGCATTGGATATTTGGGATTCAGCGGGTTCACACCTGAGAAAAAACGGGGGCGCTCCCGAAAACCACTCTTTGTCCCCAAGGCCTTGTCAAAAAAGAACTCTTTGACAGTCGTGTTAACGAGTCTGAAGCATACTCAATTTTCACCCAACATCATACTATTAGGTTGGAGTGGGTGGATGGAGGCCATCGCTAATATATATATATATATATATATGTTCCGATGGCCATGCTTGTGTCCAGTTTGTGGATTCTGAAAGCCCAATTGGTCCCCCACGGCGCCGGCTGCCCTCTATGCCCTTCTTCAGGCTGCCCACCTCTGGAAGAGAGTTTTTCCACAGTGTGAGGTGAGTTTGGGATCCCAAATTCAATCAAATCAAAGGGATCATTTGGGATCCATTGTTTTTGCAAATCAAAGGGATCATTTCAATGCACGGTGTGTCAATCTTCGGGGTGTGTGCCGTTCCAAAAAGCGGCTTGGAGAATCCAACCTGGCCTGTGCTCCTGGAATGTCATGAGGGTCGTGGAATGACATCATTGGCCTTGCAGCATGGCAGTATAAGACCAGGAATGTTGAGAAAGCAAATCGTTGAACACAGTGGAAGTTTCTGAAGCCTGCAATAGCTGCCCCTGAATAAAGATTCAATCGAACTGTTCACTTGAGAAGACCAGTCGTGAGAGAAACCCACACTAATGCATGCGATGGTCGGTGTACTCTCTGCTTCCACACAGACGTATGCGTGGAAACGCTCGACACTCATCTAGAACAACCGTTCCTTGCAGCAAACATCCTTCAAAGCTCGATGTTGTTGACAGGAACTGAGCAAGTTTTCAAACAATGCGCTCAGAATCTCTCAAAGGCTTGCCATTGCTATCAGGTTGACCATCGCTAGTAGGTTGGAGGCCATCGCTACTAGGGTGGGAGGCCAGGCTTGCCATTGCAACCCCATCTTCCGTGTCCTGATCTCAGGAGGGTCGTAGATATTGGCTGGCACCCCACCAACCTGAGGACTCAAGGGTGCTTATGTAGCATGTTCAAAGACTATTCCTTCTTCACCACGGCATTTTGGAATTCCAAAGACCAGTCTTGATAGCCAGGAGACTATGTGGTCAAGTATGCAATACATCATACAAATATATAATAGAAATATATAATGTACTTGAAGAGGTCCTAAAGTGATCAAACTATACCAGCTTACATCGCAGATGTTACATATTACATATTCAATAAAGAAAGAAGTTGATCAGGCTTGCCTTATTACCTCTCCAGCTACACAGCATTTCCCAGAACTTCTTGGTATTATTCCCCGCACGGCCACTCTGCTGCGGCTAAATGATGAAGCTCCACGTGCTTTCGCAACAGGGTCGTGAGACTTCCAAACAAAGTCTGAGCACTTTCCGAACGACTTCGGCGTGAAATTCCACGTGCACTTGGCTTCTAACCCAGCGCTGTGGCACTGTGCCAGCAATGTCCTGCAGGCAGAGTGAACTCTGAGACAGTGCTTTTTGGTGGCGAACGTCACTCAGGAACACGAACGTCACTAGCCCTGCGGCTAGTCAGATCCGGTAGTCAGAGCACACCAAGTCTGCTGACTAGTGTCATGTTGCTTTTCGAGAGTTCACCCACAGACTCACAGAGATGATCATCAGCTTCATTTCAAGAGCCCAAGTCACAAATCATTGGTCATCAGTGGTGTCGGCCAACTTTCACGCTTGAGGAAATCAAGCTGGTACATTCAGACATTATGCTTCCTTTGATTGAGCAAACCTGTATATGATGCCTATGATACATTGCTCCCCTTCTCCCAAAGCACATCCCACCTCCCGTAGGAGGCTCAGCTGCGGCTCTCCATTGTCCCAGTGCAGGCGTTTGGAGGTGGAGCCTAAGACCTCAGCATGCAAAAAAAAATTGGGAGGCCATCTACTAGCGATGGCCTCCAACCTAATGCAAAACAATGCCAAAGCAGCTATTATTAGACCGTTATCTTTCTTTCTTGTCTTTTTGTAGCCCTTTTTGGAGGTGGAGCCTAAGACCTAGGAAGCGTCCTTGCTCCTAGTAGCGATGCCTAGTAGCGTCCTTGCTAATGCAAAACAATGCCAATAAAAAAACCATTGAGACTGCTCCGGTCCCTCCTCTTTGTTCCTTTTCTGGTTCAGTACAAGTGGGCTCATTCTCCACCGTTGCATGAACTGCTGCCATGAGCAAATCTTCTGTTCGATTCGGATGTCGAATTCGACCAATCGATTCGGGTGAGGGCAGGTGGGGTTCAGTCCAATTCGATTCGATTCGGTCGTGCCAAGCTGCAGGTCCCACCTCACGCACCTGAGAGGCTTTTGGGTCTCACGATCGTTTTTCTTGCAGGGGCGTCGGCGTCGGCGGTCTGTCGGTGTTTCCAGGTTTTTGAGCGACTCAGCACAGGTTTTCGGATGACCCTTTACAATTATACTCATGTTCTGCAGGAAAAGGACTGTCTGATAGTACAAACAGTCGGCCTGTAGGCTTGGAAGCTGGATGCCCAAGAGCTTCTCCTGGTGGTTCAGGCAAAGCAAAGAAAACCAAACAACCAGATCCAAATCAGTGCATTTCAAAAACACTTGGTGTGAAACATCTGTGACTCACCCCCAACCCACCAACCTTCTGAAAAGTTCTCCACACAGGTCTGAAAGGGAACACGTAGTGTGGTAAGGTCTGAAAGTCCTCCCTCGTAATCACTTGAACACCCCCATCGGCGTCGTGGAAGCCCAGAAACTATTGGGCAGGGACAAGACCCAGCGGATTCATTCCTCAGTATGGAGGGTATGCTAAATCCTTTAAATTTAGCGACGATCTATTTGCAAGACACCGAGCAAAACGCAAAAAGTCAAAAAGTGATAAAAGTCAAAAAGTCAAAATGGTAAAGGAAACGAAAGCATGCAGCGAGACTTTTCTCACTGTTCGAGGCTTTTTGACTTTTCGACTTTTCGAGACCTTTCGACTTTTCCAGATTTTTGGACACCAGTCACATGCCGTGCCCTTCAACAAAAGTCTAGCAGAATTGATCCAAACATTGCTTTTGCTCCTACAGATATAGGATGATATAGGATGATATAGGTATAGGGTGCTGTTTTCCAGACATCTCCAGCCGTGTCAAAGTGAGTCAGCCTCGAGCAGGAATGCCTTCAAAAAAGAGACGCCCGCCAAAAGGACCCGGCAAGCCCCGGGACCTTTTGGCGGGTGACTCTTTCTTATCATCGTTGCCTTTTTGTGCACTTTTCGACTGTTCGCGACTTTTCGACTTTTCGCAAAAAGTTCGGAGAGCAAGTAGATCCAGCTCACACATTTAGCAACCACATTCCCAGAGTCCTCGTGAATTGGAATGAATGATCTAAACCAGCAGCTCCTCTGCGTACTTGGCATGAAGAGAGGTTGTGGCGCTGGTGGGCACCTGGACGCAACAACAATCTATCTGAACTAGCATGACCAGGAAGAAATTTGTGCAAAGGATTTGAAGGTTGAACACTTCAATCCTGCTGGTGACACAAAGTTAATTCAACACATCGAGATCGCAGTCATCACTTCCTCGCCTTGTATGTGGGTTCCAAGGGGTTGGTGCCCCGTGGTCTCGCAGGATTGACTGCCATGATGTCCTGTCCCAGGAGTCAATTTTAGCTACGCTTGCAAGGAGAATTTGTCTCAAGAACTATCGCTATATGTCCGGCTCTGGAAACTTATGAGCCACTCAAAGGTCGAAGCAAGAAAAGGTCAAGTGTGGTTCAAGTTGGTCTCTCTTTGGGGACCCTTCTCAGCTTCCAAAAGTGTTTTGATGACTCCAACAAAAAGTCTCGCAAGAATCTACTGGTTCCCGCCGTGCACTACAGCTCAACCGCCTTCACATCCAGAGACATGTCTGGACCTCGTGTTCACTGCGCTACCGGGTCATCTTATTGCCAGTGTAGCCCATTTTTCTCGGTCATTGATGCAACACTGGGCTGCAGGAACACAAGCGCATTCCTTCACAATCAATGACGGGACCGTCTGATTCCCAGAATCTTGCTTCAACTGGTGATGTAACCTGATAGAAACCCACGAGCCCAAATGCCCACACGTAACTACGCAAACAAAAGAGGCCAAAGTTGTTTGACACTCTTGTTCGACACTCTTGCTTGACACTCTTCTAAACCACTCTTGAAACACATTCTAGGGTGACACTCTCCTAAGAACACACTCTTCTGCCACACACATGTGGGACATTCGTGCGCGACACTCTTGCTGCACACTCTTTTGATCTCTTTTGTGCAACACCCTTGTGGGACACTGTTGTAGGGCACTCTCGTACGACACGCTTGTGGGACACATTTGCAACACACCCTTGCAACACTCTTTTGGGACACAAGTCTCTCCACTTGCTCTACTGTACAAGGTCCCCTAAGTGCCAATCAATCACGCACATATCAATAAATCACCTGGCACATAGGACCGTGCCCCAAGTGTAACTTGCAAAACACACTTGCAACACCGTTTGTGGGGCACTGTTGTAGGAATCTCTTGTGGGACGTGTAAAGCACTTTTGTGGGATACTTTTGTCTGACATTCTTGCGGGACACGCAACCCCACACTCTTGGGGGACACTCTCGTCTGACATTCTTGTGGGACACGCTTGTGGGGCAGTCTTGTGGCGTCTTGTGGAAAATGTTTGGGAAACTCTTGTGGGACATTCTTGTAAAGCAATCTTGTGGGACACCCTGGCTTGTAGGACGCTCTGGTACGGCACTCGTGTGGGACATTCTTGTGACAGTTTTCTTGGGGGACACTCTTATGGGGCACTCTGGTGAGACACTCTTGTGCGACATTCTTGTAGGGCACTCTTGTAGGGCTCTCTTGTGGAACACTTTTGGAAGGCATTCTTGTGGGGACTCATGCGTGTTAGCCTTGTAGGACAGTGACGCATCAAGCCTTCAAAACGAACACTTCCTCATCAAGCCTTCAAAACAAACATGGCGTACCAGATTTCCTCCAAGCGTCGCGCGCAGGTCTTCAAAACAAGCATTTCCAACGTTGCTTGTCAAGTCTCCAAAACGAACAAGAAATCATGCTGAGAATTCTTCAAAACGAGCACGTTGTACGAGACTTCTTGCAAAAGTGGCACGTCAAGCCGTCAATATGAGCATGTCACCTGAGACTTTCTACCCTCCAAAAGTGATTGTTGTCAAGTCTCCAAAAGGAGCATGTCGTTTATGAGTTGTTCCTTACTCTTGGTCTACAAAACAAACATTTCGTACGAGACTTCCTCGAAAAGTGAAGCCGGAAGCCTCATCAGAGCGAACACATCACCCCGATCCAAGCCCTCGAAAGCAGCCGCAGCCCCAATGGTACAGCAACATTGTCGCCACTGCACTGGCACCTGCCACGCAAACTGCGTCCCAGCATCTCTAACACGCACAAAGCACTGCGCCTGCCACGAAGAGTCACGTTAATAACAAGTCCAGCAAAATTGGCATCGCGCTTTTGGAAGGTTTCGACGCTTTCTGGGCACACTCAAATCAACCAAAATCGCAAAAATTCGCAGTTCTACTTGAGGCGCGTTAGAGAAGCACAGCTTCAAGGCAAGCGCTTCAGAAGATCTTGATGGCACAGCTTTTCAACTCACCACAAGATCCACAAGATCCACATCCTGCGAACGCCCAAACCCAATGGCACAGCGACGCATGGCCGCATGGCACCGTGCTGACGCCAAACACCGTGCTGACGCACCAAACTTTTATGCACCTCTGCGCAGCACATCTGCACGAATGGCATGGCGATGACGGACTCGGACCATCCAACTCTCGGACCAACTCTCGGGCCATCCATCCATCCATCCATCCATCCTCCAAGAGACTTCACCCGGTCATGGCTGACTTTGTTCGCACACAGGTTCGTCACAGCAGCGAGTCCAGGGACATGAGACCAACACACGATAAACGGGAAACCCTTCGCTACGCATTCGGGAACAACCTTTGAGGTACACTTAGTGCCTTGTGGCTTCCAGCTATTCAATGGAACCAGGTTTCGACAAATATCAGACGTCCCAAAGCCGGACCTTTTCAGAATCGTTGCCAGAACTGGGCACCCAACGCGGCCGGGCGTTCAACGCCTTGAGCTTCTCAGCCTAGAAGACGAGTAAGGTCATTGAGGCTAGAAGCGGCCATTGGAACATCAAAAACATTCAACATACTCTGTTGAATCCAATCACGTTCAATATGTTCCAAATTTGCTCCAGGGACCGTTGATGGCCTCTTTGCAAACACTATTGGAACCAGCCACGGGACAAGACTGCTTGACACAGGTCTTGCCATAAGATCCATCTGTGCCCTTGGCATAGTTGGGAGCTGAGTACTCAATGTCCCTGCCCTCGGCACCCATCACGGATGTTCGCTGCTGAAAAGGACAGTAACAGAAAATGGGAGAAACGATTGCAAAACAATGATTGCTTAAACATATGTAACATGTATGATGTGACATGACGTGACATGGCACTGTGCGCGTTCCGCAATTGTTTGACTTTTGCAGTGATGAAACTCCCACTGAGTGTGACATAGGAGCCCTGCTTCATTCGGGTCCCGGGTGTAGTTCCTGTCTGGGTGCAGAACCTCACTCCAGGGAAGTCTCATTTAGGGTTGCAATGCTTAAGCAGTTCCACAAATTTGCAGTTCGACTCGCGATGTCCACGAAAGCACATTCCAGATGTCCATGCAGCTTGGAACCTGACTCTTGGGTGGCTCTTCTCTATGTCCGAGTTGTCAGTGCAATGGCGGCCGTTCCACCGCGGTTCGGGAACCGGCAGCCTCGGTGGTCGCTGTGCTCTGCTCGTTTGAAGGTCAGAGGCTTGTGGCGGCATGCAAATGATTTGTCCAAGGCTGAAGCTGGTAGGAGGATGGCAGCTCGTATCTGGGACAGACCGGGTCAGTGTGACCTTGGGCAAAACATGTTCAGAACTACAGCAACACTTCTATCCTTAGATCAGTGTGATTCACCCGTACAAGGTTCAACCTGCAAAAGAGCTGGATGCCAAAAAATGCTCGCATTGACTGTAACTTCAGTGGTCAGGCGCACAGCAGGCTCAGCAGACTTCCAAATCCATCTATGACTTATGACTTATGTAACCTATGACAACATATGTGTGTCTTATTCTTATGTAAGGCCACAGAGATATACATATATATATATATAACATAGTGACATAATGATAATTGATCGTATCAAGCCCTAAGCCATCCTGGCCGTAGCCCCAAAGCTGGGCTGTCCAGGCGGAAGCCCTTATGTTGACCACCCCGTGGAATCGCCAGCTCGATGTCTGCCGTGGTGAGGCTCAGATCCCGGGGTCTGCGATCCATGGGCGCCTCGAACAAGAGAGACTTGAGTCTCTGGTCAGGATCGCTGGAAAGGACGGGGGAAGGGGGGAAGGCTGCTGGGGTAGGCTAACAAGTGTATATATAGTAGCTACTAACAAGGAAGTAAGAGGTAAGTAGCTACTAAGCTTAAGTAGCTTCGCCTAGGCTTCGACGCAGAAGGGCTCAGGCTTGATGATTGAGTTCCTAGATTCTTGGTACTCTTTTAACTTGTATTATAGACCCATCATAGTTTTGCCATCAATGCGACTCAGGATCTGAGTCCATTCAGATCCATCGATCGTTTCTCTTTCATTGCACGCAAAATCCTAGGATTGAGTCCACAAAACCACAACCATTTTCACAGCCAGTCTCCAACCGGAGAATCTCAGTGCCCACACGTAGTAAGATCTAGCCTTACCGCCAGGATGCACAGGATCTGTGCAGCCAACCTGAATTTGAAAGCCCAGAAAGGTAAGACATCGTCCATCCGATGTTTCTTACAATGAGGGAATCCGCGAGGAGCTATGCTGAGCATCTGGCGCTCATGTCTGGCTTCTCCAAATACTTGAGGTGGTCATAGGTTGGCTGGCATCTTGTGATGTCCTCATTGCATTCATATTTCGTCCATGGCAGAGGATTCTAGTGGTTTCCCAACACCACGACTCTCCTGAGGCCCTACATCAAGTACATGCTTCAGCTGAGAGTCTTCGATCCATGGCCTTTAATTGCGTTTATTCGGTCATAAAATTCCCTTGCAGCACTGCGTAACTGGGTTGAAACTCTGCTGCATACTGAAGGATCACAGTGTTTTGCAACGAGTTCATGCTCTAATTCGCTAGCAACTGATCTGCCTATGCCTACACTCCCTCCTCCGTCATGAGGGACTTGTCATAGTCCTTGGGATACATGACCTGCCCATCCAGCATCTGGCCAACTTTTTTTCACATAGAACAGTTTTGATGTAGACTGTTGATGAATTAAACCCTTTTAGCAGAATTGTCTTACATCTCCATATAGATATTTTTTTATATACTCAACTGTCAACACCACTCAACGATCCAGTTCGGTCAGTTTTGTGGCAAAGAGTCTGGTGATGCAAGCGATGCACACAGATGTGTTTCAATGTGTTTCACCTGAGCTATAATATCTGACATGTGTCGACAAGAACATGCACACAGTCGAGATGTGTTCAGTCGTTGATTCAGTCTTTCTCTTCTGACCATGTCCAGACGAATGGTATAATGCATGATTTCTTGTGCCAGCTGTCTTTTTTGTTCCCGAAAGGGTTCTCCATAAAGAACGGCTACCAACTTCAACTGTCCAAACATCATCATCATCATCTTCTTCTTCTTCTTCTTCTTCTTCTTCTTCTTCTTTATCCTCATCATTTTCTTTATCGTTCTTTATCATCATCATCATCATCATCATCATCATCATCATCATCATCGTCATCATCATCATCATCATCATCATCATCATCATCGTCATCAAAATCATCATCGGTTCACCATCAAGGCGTAGAGGCGCAGAGATGCAAGTGATGCAACTTCTACAACACGCCTACATAGATACAGGTGTTTGGATACAGGCATTGAGATATAGATCTTGGGATACAGGTGTAGAGATACAGATGTTGAGATACAGGTGAAGACACAACACAAGTACAACTTTGACATACTTTGACATCTTTCTATTTTTTTTTGCGGCGAGGTGGACCGGCCGATGCTCACGAAACACGACCCTCTGCGAAGATCATGCATGTCGGAGGCGCGAAACTGTGGTGACATGCAGAATCGTCCTCTGTCTTTGCGGAGATAGCGCGTGTTGAGTGCTTCAACATGTGGCGAAAAGCGAATTGTTGTTGTTCGCTTTTGCGAAGATCACGCGCGTCGAGTCCTCAAACGTGAGGTGGAATGCAATGTTTGCTGTCCTCGGTGAACCCTTTGCGGAGATCGCGCGTGTCGAGATCGAAAGTCATGTCGGAAGTTGTCAAGCTCAAACGGTGTAACTGTAGTCCAAAAACAGGTGGAAGTTACCAAGTTGTGTGTAGCCGTCATCGAAAATCACGCTGGAAGTTGCTAATGTGCTGCAACTGTCGTAACTGGTAGAAATTGCCAAAGTGTGTAACTGTCGCCGACTGTGGCCTTAGGACTGGGAACTTTGTGGTAAAAATGTAGTCCGGCAACAGCTTCTGGCAGCTGCCAACTTTGTAGTACAAAAGTGGTGCAGGAGGCAGCTTGGAGCTGGGTCAGAGCTGGCGATTTTGTGGTACAAACAGTACGGGAAGCAGCTTCTGACCACTGTGGACTCAGAACAGGTCCACAAAAGTAGAATTATAAGTCAAGCACGGGAAGCAGCTTCTGGGGGCTGGCCTCAAAACTGCACAAATCTGGCAACTTTGTAGTACAAATGTGCTGCGGGAAGCGGCCTGTGGATGTCACGGCAGGATGATTGGCGGTGTCGACAAGGCTTGGTGTTACATTGTTGTATCTAGTCAGTGGCACACCGTGTGGTGAAGTGACGTCTGTGATGTCACTGTGACATGCGAATTGGCACAGCCTTGGTCCGTGCCATTGGGGGATGGTGTCGATGCAGCTTGTCGTTGGTGAGCGGGATGATTGGTGGTGTGGTGTCACGTGTTTGCAGCTAGCTCAGCTAGTCTGTGGCGCACGGAATGGCGAAATTACATCCGTCTACTTTATCTTGGCATTGGCACCATTGTGATCATCATCACTAGTCACTATTAAAGTATCACCACCATCATCATCAACATCCTCTTCGTTAATTCCTCATCGGTTCTTCCTGTCATCTATGCTTAGGCTTAGACTATCTACCTTCCTGGCCATCTCATTCACAACTTCAGCATTGCGACATTGCAGGCAACTTGAAGCGCTGCACGGGTAAATGGACCACTCAAAACAAAGCCACTGGACATAAGGTTAGGCAGCATCTTTGGGCCTGACCACGTGGCACGTCTTTGGGCCGAATCACATCCAGAAGCATCGTATCGGTGCGTTGTAGGAAGGGCCTGGCTCAGGTGCCACTATGGGCTTGATGCAAACAAGGAGATGACTCTAAGGTGTAACACTCAGCCTGTTGAAGTCTTGTATCTACTGGGTTTAGTCTAGCATTCTACGATTGATTGATCCACCCAAGAAAGGGTTGCTGGCTGCATGCATGACTCATGAGCAATCTCCAAAAGGCTTTAAAGCCTTAGGCCTTAGGTCCCTCGTTACTTGCAAGATCTTACAAGTTACAAGCATGCTTCTCATTGCTGTCAGCTTCTCAAATGGCTACATTTCACGAATCTTGCTTCTCCAGCCTCTCATCATCTCTGTACCAAGGGGTCGTGCACGACATTGTGAAACGCCTGATAAAACACGTGGCGGCGAGTGTCAAGGCTTTTTCGTGCACTGCCTTGTGCTTTTCATGTTCAGCTTCGAGAAAAAATAGAAAAGAGTATCCGCAAGGCCAGAGCGACCGGCTCTGTTGCGGACTTTCCGTGGGTCCGTGAGGCTCGGACGTGCTCCACCAGGCCTGGCATCAGAAGCTCGGACATTGAGCTTGGTTTTGGCCTCTTTGTTCAGCCCGAGGTGCCCTCACCCTTGCTTAATTAAGTAGGCGCCTACTTAAGTAAGCAACTAACTACTGGACGGACACAGGATGGCAAGAGGGCATTGAGCTGCTCAGGAAGCTTCCACAAGTCCTGCACTCTCAAATGAGTGTAGTGTCGCCAATAGAGAGCTTCTCAAATCACTGCAACCACCGTAAACCAAGTCTCCCAAGTTCTGATTGGACATGACTCTTCAAAAACGGTTTTTGCCTAGCAACAAACTGGCCAGGCCTGGCAGAAGCCAGGTCGGAGCCTTGAGCCCCCGAGGATGAGACGTTGCGAGAAAACAGCTAAAAACAGCTGTTGCTGGACTGACTGCGATCAAGACATCTTGGGCTTTTGCAAAACAAAAAAGTAGACATGATCGCATGCTGCATGCGAGAGAATGCAACATGGCCAACCCCAACCAGCCTCTGTCCTCGGTCAAAGTTGCTCCAATCAGCAAAGAGCCAAAATTGCACCAGTAAAATGCAAGTAATTGAAGGAGCACAACATTGAGAATGCTTTTGACATGGACAACTGCAAGCTTAGTTCGTTTGCTTTATTTTTCAATGCACATCTGTTCAGAACAATCTCTGGTGGGCAATTGCGTCCGAGAAAACCGATCCTGGACAAACAAATCCTTCATCGAGGCCATACAAGGAATTTGACTGATAGGAGGGGGTTGCTGACTTGAAATCATGGCAATGTCTGTGAAGCTGCAGTGTCTGTCACCTATGTCCTTCCCCTGAACCATTTCAGTTTCCGCCGGCCTGTCCCTTGCCACCTGCAAATATTGGATGGAATATGATCTGTTTCTTGGCACACAATCCAAAATCAAGTTCCCTTCCATTCAACAGAGAAGCCTAGGTCTTGTCAGCAATTCATTCCAGAATGTTGTCCACTAGCTCCAGTGTGGAATCTGGAATGCGGGTCTTTTCGACCAGCCTGTCCTTGCACATGTGTTTGTTTTAGAAAACGTTCAGCTCCAATTTCAGATTGAACATGTTCTTGCCCCTCTGTTCTAGTGTTTATATATACAATTATATACATATCGTGCACAGTGCTTCAGTATTCGGCAAGTGATTTGTTTAACAAGACCCAACACTGCATTTGACAGGACTGGTCATGCAAAGTCATGCGTAAGACCTGAAACACAAGAAGCACAAAATGATCTTTTGGATGATCCAACATCTTGCTCGAAGAAAGCCCAAGATTGGATCTGTCACGACGTTCGTTCAAAAGTTTCACTCGCATAGACCCCAGATAGCGGGTGTATAGGCTTGAAGGACATGCCACGGACGGCTGTCACTGCAGCATGCAACATCAGGCCAATCCACCAATATGCGGAACGTCCATCAGCTGAATGCGCCCGATTTGCCCAACACAAACGTAAAACTGCAAGATCGGCATAAGGACCGGCCAAAAGCTGCCCCGTCAACAAAAGGATCATTGCTGCACAACGCGTTGTCATGCAACATATGCCCTGATGTCACCCCTGGCATGACAGAATGACATCCCTGCAAAACCACAACGCCGATCCAAAGCCAGCACCTGCACCAGCATCAGCACGGCAGCAGCGCCCGCAAAACCAAAACGCCAATCCAGAGCCAGCGCCTGCACCAGCAGCAGCAGCAGCAGCAGCGGCGGCACGGCAGCAGCACCCGCAAAGCCAGCGCCTGCACCTGCACCAGCATCAGCACGGCAGCAGCGCCCCCAAAACCAACACGCCGATCCACAGCCAGCACCTGCACCTGCACCAGCATCAGCACTGCAGCAGCACCCGCAAAACCATTGCACCAGCATAGACTCTTGATAGCTGGTGTATAGGTTTGTCATCCCTGGCATGACACAATTTCACCCCAGGGGCCTGGGCATGGCATGACGTCATTCCGGCCATGACAGGATGTCATCCCTGGACCACCAGCACCTGCACCTGCATCCGCACCCAAAACCAAAACGTCGATCCAGAGCCACACAATTAAGAAGTTAGAACCCCTATAGCCTCCAGCTATCTGGGGAACAAAACGCCGATCTAGAGCCACACCATTGGGAAGTTAACA